ATCAGAACCACTACGTTGCTACAGTTCTTCATGTACAGGAAACAGCCTTGACGTTTCCTTCCCTTTCTGGCTATTCCCTAAGCATTCTTCTTCCTGTGGCTACCCAAGATTCAACCTCTATTGCACCGATCGTCATGAGACAGCTTTAAACCTTCCAAACTCCGGACCATTTCTTGTCCAAGAGATAAAATCGCAGCGTATTCGTCTCAACGACCCTGATAACTGCTTAGCTAGACGCCTTCTCAGTTTCAACGCTTCCGAATCTCCGTTTTCTCCTCTTCACTTTGTCAACTACACTTTCTTGATCTGTCCAAACCAAGACCTCAAATCCTCTTCTTTGAAACCCATCCATTGCCTTGGTAATTCCACGACCTCCTTTTTCGCCACACCTTTAGAACTAGTCGGTTCAATTCCGCCCTCTTGTCAAGTTGAACCGACTAGCTCTAAAGGTGTGGCATCCTTCAACTTGCCAATTTGGCTACCCTTAAAGATTTTCATCTTCGTCTTCCTTCTCCTAAACGCCTCAGAAGCAAATCGTTGCTATAGTGCCTCATGTGGAGTCAGAAACGTCGACGTTCGTTTCCCTTTCTGGCTATTCCCCAAGCAACCCGAGTCATGTGGCCACACAGGATTCAACCTCCTATGCACCGAACGCCACGACCACGAGACAGCCTTGAAACTTCCAAATTCCGGACTATTTCTCGTCCGAGAGATCGACTATGAAAATCAGAGAATTCGCCTCAACGACCCGAACAACTGCTTAGCCAGACGGCTCCTCAACTTTGACGCCTCGGAATCTCCTTTTTCTCCTCTTTACCTTCTCAACTACACCTTCTTGACTTGTCCTAAAGAAGACGTCAAATCTTCCCCTTATGAACCCATTCATTGCCTTGGTAATTCCACTACCAACTTCTTCGCCACTCGAATTCATCTTGTGAGTTCGATCCCATCCTCTTGTCAAGTATTCAAGACATTACTCCTTCCTATTTCTTCACCACTCGCCGTTGACCTCAACGATCAAGACCTCTGGCTCAAATGGGACTCACCGGATTGCAAAGATTGTGAGGGTAATCGTTCGATGTGTGGTTTCAAAAACAAGACTAGTCTCGAAGTCAAATGCTTTAAATCTGGTAAAAAAATATTCTCGTATCCTTCACATGAACATGTAGCTTCAAATGCAAGGAATCGTTGATTTCGTTTTTGGAAAATGATAATTATTATACTCATTAAATAACATATCAAATAAAATCTAGTGGACAAGGACAATCAAGTTATTGACTTTTTTAGTTTTATGAAAATCACATTCACAACTATAAACTCCAATAACAACATGCGAGAATGTCGTACCAATAGAATATCAATATTTAACTTGTAGTTAAAACTTAAAACTGATTCTTCACGGTTCCTTTTTTTAACACAGGACTTTACGACTTCATCATGCTAATACTAAAGTTAGTCTGCTTTTTCCTAATCGCATTACTCTTCACAATAACCACATGTGTGGCATATGTCACGTTCAGTTCCGAGAGGCTCCCTAGGCAGATACGACTATCCGTGGCACGGATTGTTGCTCGCAAGCCGTATACTGGTCCCGCTAAGTATCCTATCTCGAGATTTTACAAGAAAGTGGAGTTAGACGAAAATATGAAGCTCCCCGGAGGAAATGATGTTACATGTCCAATTTGTTTATCGGAATATACGAGAAATGAGACCGTTGGGTGCTTACCCGGATGTGAACACTGCTTCCACATCGAATGTATCAGTACATGGCTCCATTTGCAGTGTTCTTGCCCGATTTGTCGAAACGAAGTCTCACCACGAAGTAAATTTTGTTCGTTGTATGATTAATTCGAAAGTAAATAATTACACCTTTTGCAAAATTTTTGTTTTTTTTTTTACGACATCACACCTTTTGCATTTGGTAAAATAGTATGTTA